TTAAATGATGCTTCACAATTTGGCCAGCTATATCCAAAATTTATGCCCCTAATGAAATAGTTTGTTCATGAAGAGAGTGGCAGTGAAATACTTGGGGGGAAAAGGTACAAGGAATGGAAAACATAAGAGAAACTACAGCAGGCATCTGCTATAGACTTTAACACCTCTAGGACATATGAACATAGGAATGGCTACATAATTGTCTATCTAATCCAGCATCACATCTATAACAGCAGCCAAGACCAGATACTTCAGAGGAAGGAGCAAGAAACTCTGAAGTGGATACTGATGGAATAACCTGCCCATAAGGGAGGTTTCTTCCGAAACCTCAGCATTTAGTAGCTGTCTTACATCCTGAAGTATAAAGGTTGATTGCAGTAGTAGAAAGGGATTAGATTTTAGGACGGATCTAAGATTTTAGGGTAAAAAACCCTGTACGGGAAATGGAAAAGTGGAAGGGAAAGCAATATACTGTGATAAAGCAGAATTAGTTACTGCCATCAAAAGGGTTAAAAAAGAGAGTAAGAAGGAAATTTACAATTAAATTAGTGCAACAAAAGTACCAGAAAGTATGTCCATTGATAAATGAGGGGGGTGGGTGGGTGGAATCAATAACTAAAAAATTGTCCTGATAGTGATTTACTTAAAAAAAAAATCTTTCTTCAACAAGAAAAAAAAGGTAAAGAGCCTCACAGTTAGGAAGTAATGAAAACTTTGTCACTGAGATGACTGGTGAAAAACAAGTAAGGGAATACTTAGGAAAATAGCTTGTATAGAAATCAGCATTCTGTGGTGGTGTGGGGATCAGCTAACAAACTCAATGAACTGCCTGAACTTTCTGGAACATCATAACAAACTAGAAAAGGTGCCAGAGGACTTTAAAAAAGCAAATGTAGTGCCATACTTAAAAAAAAAAAAAGTGATCCTGGAAAATTATCACTCTTTGAGTCTAACTTTTGTTCCTGGTAAATTAATGGAATAAATAGTAAAAGAAAAGAAAAATGTAAACATCTAGACGATAACAGAACTATGAGTAATAAGAAGCAGCATAGATTTATAAAGAACAAATCACGTCAGTCAAACCTGATTACTTTCTCTGATTAAATTTACAAAATTAATGGATGAAGAGAATGCCACAGATGTAATATATCTGGACTTAAGCAAAGCATTTGATACAGTGCCTTGTAAAACGTTACTTGAAAAATGAATTGATATTGGCTTGAATATGAACACTGCCGCATGGATAAAAAACTAGCAGAAGGACTATAAACAAAAGGAAATACAAAATGGCAAAGAACTAGGTTGTGGGGGTTAGGCTTGTTTTTATTTAATGTCTTTATTGATGATCTGGATGAGAGACATGTTAAAGAAATTTGCAGTTGATACTAAACTGGGAGGAGCTGCAAACCCTAATGAGGACAGAGAACACAAAGGATCTGCCGTTAGAAATATGGGCAGGAAATAACAAAATTAAGTTTGACTTGGATATATGTAGTCAGTGGTAGAGCCAGAAATAGAACCCAGGAGTCCTCTTGCCCAACTCACTAGATGCATGTTTCCCATGACTAAAAACCAAAAGAAAACAAACAACAAAAGAATAAGCACCTGGTGCAAGCTGTGAACACACAGCTTCCATTAGCAGCTAATGATCTGTAGAAACAGGAGCTGAAACTCCAGCAATGGGACCTACCAAAGCACAAATCTTCAGAAAATCAATACAGGAATGTCAGGCTTTCAATAGGGAAGATGTAACTTTCATTCAAACCAGGGCCAGAGGTCAGACAAGCTAGTTGCTGATATTTCCATAAATAAGAACTTCATAAACAACCTGTGGTGACTGATAATATACACCCACTAAATCAGAAAATGACTGAAGATTAGACACTGAGTCAAGCACGGGGAGATACAGGCCCTTTTCCAGCTGGGTTTGAGAGACCACATATGCAGCCACAGTTCCTCTGACAACCTTCGGTCAGGCTGGGGCACAGAACCATCAACTAGAAGAGGTTAAAATGAAGACTAACTGGTGCTCTCTGTGGGAAGAGCAGTGGCTCTCTGTGAATGTAGGGTGACCAGATGTCCCAATTTTATAGGGACAGTCCCGATTTTTGGGTCTTTTTCTTATATAGGCTCCTATTACCCCCCACCCCCGTCTCGATTTTTCACATTTGCTGACTGGTCACCCTATGTGAATGTGACACAAGAACTATGCCATTCCCTGACAGCTATGTATATTGGTCTAACGTGCCCGCCTTCCAGGCAATGTGGGGACACGTGTTGTGGCATGAGAGTGTGCTAAATGGTTGTAAGCATAGGTGGTGCGTGAGTCTTCTGTTTGGGGAGGCTCACATGTGAGCACTGGAAGCTCCCTAGAAGTGGTGGGGGGGCACCAGTTCCTGGACTATGACTCCACCCTCCTGAGGCCCTGCCTTCACTCCGCCTCTTCCCTCCCCCAACCCCCCAACCTGCTCTTCTCCACTGCCTCCCACAAGCCCCCCTTTGCCTGCCTGCTCTTCTCTTCCTCTTTCCCCATGCCCCCCACTCTGGGGTAGGGATGGGGATAAGGGGTTTGGGGTGCAGGAAGGGCTCCAGGTTTGGGGGGCTCAGTGCTGGGGCAGGAGGTTGGGGTGCAGGCTTACTTTGGGCGGCTCTCGGTCAGTGGCACAGCGAAGCTAAGGCAGGCTGCCTGCCTGTCCTGGCTCCGTGCTGCGCCCCAGAAGCAGCCAGCAAGTCCGGCTCCTAAGTGGGTGGTGGCAGGAGCTCCGTTGTGCACGCTGATCTCACCCACAAGCACAACCCCCCCCAGTTCCCATTGGCTGGTTCCCGACCAATGGGAGTGTGGAGCCAGTGCTCAGGCAGCGCATGGAGCCCTGTGGCCCCTCTGCCTAGGAGCTGGATCCGCTGGCCGCTTCCGGGGCACAGCGTGGTGCCCCAGGACAGATAGGGACGTGCCTACCTTCGCACCGCAGCACCATTGACTGGGCTTTTAACGGCCTAGTCGGCGGTGCTGGCTAGAGCCGCTAGGGTCCCTTTTCAACCGGGTGTTCCGGTCAAAAACTGGCAGGCCTCCAAAGGGAGGTGACCTGCGCCGCATCTGCAGCATTTACCCTCCTGCATGGCCAGCCTGTTTTGGAGAGGCTTAGCCTCCCCCAGCCTCTTATACATGCCACCGCCCATGGTTGTAAGGAATGTGCCAGCGAGCAGACAACTGGGCAAGACACCAAAAGTCAACCAGGGGTGAGAAAGTTATTTCTATCTCATAACCTTCAACCGCAGAATCACAGAATAAATCAATGTCCTGCTTATTCTGGAGCACTCCCAGATACCCCGTTTTTCTCTGCCTTTTACTTTCAGTTTAATTTCCTCAAGATTCTGTGATACCACACTCCAGCTGATACTGCTGGATGCAGCTCCATCCAGTTTGTTTCTATTGTCAACCTGGGAGTGGGGGGAGGGGTGTTGCTCTGTCCCTCTCCAATAGGATAAAGACACAATCCTACACCCATTGAAGTCAGTGGAAAGACACTCATTGACTTTGCTGGGCATTGGATTGGTCTCTAAATGCATTGTCTCCACACTGCTCTGAAGTGAGTAAGCAAGGAAGGTTTCAGAGTAGCAGCCGTGTTAGTCTGTATCCGCAAAAAGTGTACAAGTACAAGTACTCCTGTTCTTTAAGCAAGGAAGGAGATTTGTTTACCGTGTCCAAAGAATTAACTAAAGAATGAGGGGATGAAGTTAAGAAAAGGAAAATTTAGGCTGTACATGAAGAGACATTTCCTAATGATGAGGTTTATTTGAGTTACTGGGCTAGAAGTTTTATGCCTTCCTCTGAAGCATCTGGAATTGGCCATTTTTTGGGACAGAATAGCAACTAGACAGGCCACTAATCTGATCAGTCTGGCAATTCCTGTGTTAGTTTCCCAAGAGAAATGGTGGAAGCCCCTCACTTGGAATATTTAAAACTAAACTGGACAAAATCAATATAGGGAACAATCCTGAAGTCATCTCCAAAGGAAGGGCTAGATGTTTTCTAGTAAATGCCAAAATAAATGCAACATTACCTCTGACCCTTGTGCTTATGCAGTATAATACAGTGTGATGGCATCTACAGGTCCCACTCTGAACCAGGACTGGGAGTACAGCAATACTGGGCTAGAGAGGTGCAGGGCATGTTCTCAGTGGAGGAACAGTTTAAAAGGACACTGGTAGCCCAGGAAAAGGGGGGAAATGAGTTGCATGTGGCATCAGGAAGCAAGGCTGTGGCAGGAGTGGCAAAAGCTTTGTGATGGCTGCTCTAGTAGCAGGGACTAGGCTCGCTCCCCCTCTCTGGATGCTGAAAAACCCTAAAGAGATTGATTGAACAGGGCTGTCAGAGACTGGGGAGAGTCTGCTAAGTCAGACACCATGCCCCAAATTGAGGAGCTCTAGTGTGGTAGGAAGTACTCAAGGGAAAACCTAATTTGGAGTAGCTCAATAAGTGGGCTGGGTACTTTGATAAACCCTAGGGCCCTGTGTTGGGACCTGTGGGTGCGGGTCCCCCTATCTTCCCCTCCCCTGCTCCACTGTAGTGACAGAATCTCTGAGGGAAGTTTGGAGTATATGGGGGTGATTGTGGCCCCAGTCAGCCTTCTCTGGGATGACTAGGCTGACAGAAGATATAAGGCCATGAGCTGACCACTAGACCAGGGTGGTCATTGGACATGCAGTCTGTAATTACATGATTACATACACCTCTACCCCAATATAACGCGACCTGATATAACAGGAATTCGGATATGTGTTTAGGCAGCACAACAGCGGGGCCGGCCCCCTGCCTGACAAGCTGTTGCTGCTGCAAAGAAAGAGTCCGACGGGAGCAGAGAACAGAGCGCAGGCATCGTCCTGCCCCTCTCGCCTGAGCTGCGCAGCCCTCAGGCAGCCCGCCCCCGCTCTGCGCCATGTGCCTCCCACAGCCGCTCATCATTTGTACACCTCCCGCCTCGCGGGGCGGAAGTGTGCACGATGAGGGGGCGTGGCGCTGTGCGGGGCGGAAGTGACCCCCGCGACCGGAAGTCCTGTTCCGAGAGGAGGCTGAGGACCCCGGAGAGGCCGAGGCGGGCGCTGGGTGAGTGAGTGAGACCCACCTTGACCTGGCCCGGCTCTGCCCGGCTCGAGTCTCGGGGGGTTGGTTAGTGCGAAGGTCTGACATAGGTCGGGAGATGATGCCAGGGCCTGGGGTGGTGCCAGACAGGGCCGGGAGCAGCTGGGGCCCGTGTGGGGGGTAGGCCCGGGGTATGGCGCCCAGGCAGGGAGGGCGCCGCGGGCGGGGCGAGGGTGGTTCCGGCCGAAGGGTGACAGCCGGCGGTGGGGAGATGACCTGGGGGAGTAGCTGAGGAAATGGAACACGAGTCGTGGCATCGGTCTGTGCTGGGATTGGGTGATGGAGGATTTTACCTACTTCTCCGACTCCTGGGTTAGAAAGGTGCCCAGAGCTTCAGTCCTGTGTGTTTCCCTGAGGCTTCTCAATCTCCAGGTCCTGGCCCCATCAGGGCTGGGGGGGGGGGGCAAAGCACAATGTCCTCTATTTCCTGAGGCAGTTCTGCCCCAGTGTACACAAATCTACTGTAAATATTCCCATAAGGTGTTTTCCGTTTTCTGTGTTGTGGGTGCAGTTTGTTGCTGTGGTTAGAAAGTGTCAGCATCTTAGTAGGAGTGAAGTATCAGAGGGGTAGCCGTGTCAGTCTGGATCTGTAAAAAACAACAGGTGCCACAGGAGACTCTGTTGCTTTTTAATAGGAATGGATTTATTGTTTTTGTAGTATCTCACTCCAAAGTGCATTAGATTAAAGACCCACTGTGTATCAAGTGAGCAGTCATTTGTGGGGTGGGGAACCACAGCTGTTTGATAGGGTACAGCAACACTACACAACAGTTTTGGGTGAGAGATGAAGAACAATCCCATGTAGAACTGCAATCGCTGGGGAGATGTAACAAACTAGATTATAATTACACAGACTGAAATTTGATCAGTACTCCAGGAGTTAATATCTGATTCCCCCACCTCAAAAAAAAAAAGGGGGGGGGCATCATGGAATCTTTGTGACTGCATTAGTATGAGACTTAAGCTTTATTCCTCTTTGGAAAGACTGACCCTCATGCAGCATAGAGTCTTTAATACCCACTGTGCCATTGGTCTGAGCCAAGTGTGCCACCTATTAAGTCACTCAGTCCCTACGTGACTGGTAGAGGCCTCCAATCCACGTACTGAACAGGCCCAATCTCGTTTTTTGGTTATAACAGCTGATGGTATGACATCACATGGTGTTCTGAATGCAGGCCATTTCACTTTTAGGCTGGATACTGGGACATAGTACTTCAAGGAAGAAAATGCAATCTCATGTCCGTATCAGGCATAAACTTGTCTCTAATTGCTATAGCATGAGGCACTCTTGGCTGGAAAGGGGAAGTGGTAGCTGTAATTTTAAAGGGAACACTGAGCTGTAGCACAAGAAGAACAGTTTGCCTGCATTAGTCCTATTGGGCAGGTCCAAGGTGAGTGTCTAACCAAGTTGCTGATGTGAAGAAGGCTCTAGTTTATGCTGGTCTAGTGATGTGCTCTTACAGTGACATTAGTGGCTGGTGCTAATTGTTTGTTTTCGTGTTTAGTAGACATTTCCCATGGATGAGCTGGTGCATGACTTGGCCTCGGCCTTGGAGCAGACCTCAGAACAAAACAAGCTGGATGAGCTGTGGGAAGAGATGGCCCTGAGCCCACGGCAGCAGCGGCGGCAGCTTCGCAAGAGGAGGGGTCGTAAGCGGCGCTCAGACTTCACTCACCAGGCGGAGCATGCCTGCTGCTACAGTGAGGCTTCGGAATCAAGCTTGGATGAAGCCATGAAGGACTGTCGTGAGGTGTTGACTGCCAACTTCAGTGACTCAGATGACATGGCTGTGGCCAAACGCCACCCAGCTCTGAGTGCCACCCTAAAGAGCAAGCAGCATTCTTGGCATGAGTCGGACTCCTTCACGGAAAATGGACCCTGCCGACCCCTCAGGCGTCGCCGGAAGGTGAAACGTGTGACCTCAGAGGTAGCTGCTAGTCTCCAGCAGAAACTCAAGGTGTCAGAGTGGAACTATGAGAGAGGCTATAGGTTCAAGTCAGCCAAGAAGCAGCGTCTGTCACGCTGGAAGGAGAATGCCCCTTGGACTTCATCCAATCATGGCCTGTGTGAGTCAGTAGAGAACAGGCCCTTCCTAAGTAAAGGCGGGAGGAAGGAGAGGATGGAGTGTGAAGCGGATGAACAAAAACAGGGTTCTGATGAAAACATGTCTGAATGGTGAGCTCTCCAGGCCTTTCCTTCCCCTACCACAATCAGATTTTCAACTTCCTTTACAGCTGCTTGCAAAGACTGTGCCTGCTCTAGGTAATTCCCTCTCAAACAAAAGTGCTACTTTTCCCTTAAAGATACAAGGAAAAAAAAAACCCCAAACCCTTCACAAGGTGCAAACCCTTGCCTGCAGTCCTTGCGAGCAATCCTACGGTGCTAAATCAATGTGCATGTTGTCCTCATGACCCAGTAGTGACGGGTATGTTGTATTCATAACAAACCGGTGCACTTCTGGCTCCAATGAGAAGTCTATTGTCTCTGTCTTCACAGTGACAACCAGCATGCTAGTGGCTCTAGTCTTTGCAAGTAAAACCATGTTGACAAGTCTGTGAGTGATGGATGAGACTGATTTCAGTTTCATGATTCCAAGGATTTATGAGAAACAGCAAAGGAAAACAGAACAAATTTCCTGTAGTGACCAGTTAGCCTTGTTTGCAGTTACTGTATGTACCTTGATCAAAACATTGTTCTGTTTACAAGTTAGTGCATGTTAGTTGTCTAGTGTAGTTGTAACAAAGGCATAGATCAAGGTGAGGCCTTCCTTACTGAAGAGAGGATGCTATTTTTGCCATCTAAAAATGGGAAAAGACATTTTTATCTAGTAGTACCAGAGAGGAGATATCGAGTAGCACCTTGAGAATGTACATCAATGACAATGGGCAGATAGATTCCCTCACTTGATGGAGCAGTAATAGATATTGCTAGCCCTCTCGAGGTACTTTCTACACCAATCAGTATCTCTTCCATCATGTTCAATTGAACTTAAACCAGCTGGCTTTCATCCAGCCTTATCTATGCCAGCCATTGAGAAAGCAAACACACAGCTTTGTTTTGGTCCATCACCTGAGGAATGCGCTGGGTGATTGTTTTGTTTTCCCTCAGTTGGTTCCTTTCCCTCAGACTAATAAGGGTATGTCTACGCTACAAAATCATGTTGACTTAAGTTACCATGACATACAGCCACTGCATGAATTAAATCGCTTTTGCATGTCCAAACTATGCTCCTAGTGTCAGCAGTGCGCATCCTCACCAGGAGTGCTTGTACTGATTTAACTGTCAGTGTGGGGCGGCTTCAGAAAATCAGCAACTGTCGATGTAAGCAACACAGTATCTACACTGATGCTGCGTCGACCTAACGAAATCAATCTAAGCACTACACCTCTCACAGAAGTGGAGTTACTAAGGGTATGTCTACACTGGAAACTTCAAAGAACTGCTGCGGGAACGCTCCCGCGGCAGCGCTTTGAAGTGCGTGTGTGGTCGTGCATGAGTGCTGGGAGAGAGTTCTCCTAGCGCTCCTGGTAATTCACCTCCACGAGGGGATTAGCTCTGAGCACTGGGAGTGCGGCTCCCAGCACTTGGAGCCTGTCTACACTACTGCTTTAAAGCGCTCAGACTTGCTGCACTCGGAGGTGATTTTTCACCCCCCCCTCCCCCGAGCCAGTAAGTTACAGCGATATAAAACGTAAATGTAGACAAGCCCTAAGTTGCAGTAGTTGGCGAGTTACATCGGTGGGAGCTACATTTTAGTGTAGATGTAAGATGCCTTGCATTGACCTAATTCCGTAGTGCAGACCAGGGCTTATTGTGCATATGTTTGCATCAAATGACACTTGCCATCTGCTGCCAAATTGTTGGGATTCTCTTTGGAAATCCAGAGGTCAAAAGGTTTGACCATCTCACCTCCACATGTATGGTCTGGGCTGTGGCTTGGGGAGGGGAGTTAGAGGAAGAATACATAGGGCAGATCAAACCAGAATAATCCAAGGGTGGTCTGAGAACATCCGTGAGTAACACATGTGCTACCTCAAGTTTATGGATGACGCATTGTCTGTCTAATCTTTCACATAGAACAAAATCTATCTATACTTCTTTTGTATCGCTCAGTTTCAAATTGGATGTTGTATTAAGTTTACCAGCCAGTGATAAGGTGAGCCCTTGTTTTATCTTGATATTTTCTGGGCTCATAGAATGACCAGTTACTCCCCAGTTTGTAGTTTAGTTCCTTGTAAATAGTAGCAGGTTTGGTGACAGCCTGTAGTGGCAGTCATGAGCCTGGCTCAGCTGATGTATTAGAGGCTCATCTCTCAGGAAAGAAAAAATCCCCTTCTCCTGGAAGGCAAGTGACAGAGACAGAGTGCTCAGTCTCCCCCTCCTTCTCCAGCCCGGCCTGACCTTCTGCAGCCCCTTGGTGCTTCTTGTTTTCTTATTTTTATAGAAAATCAATATCCCTCCTGACACAAACAATAGCTCAGGAGCAGGAATAAACGTCGGAAAGCTGAGATCTCTGTCCATCACCTCTCACTTTAACTCCCCCAAACTATTTAATTATAAGCGTGCTTTGCTCCAGGTGTTTGCGACAGTGAAATTGCTAAATGAGGACCATTTTAACCAAAGATTGGGCGATCAATAACACTCTATAGCAGTAGCTTGTCGGATCAATAGCATTCATTATTTCATGGTTAAGGTAAGTAGCCTCCTTTGCAAGTGGAGGTCATTAATCAGTGCTTACTGGACCTGAGGAAAGGCTTGTGTACAGGATACTCAGTTTTCCAGGCCTGAAATATAAAGGGGGTGTAGGTAAGGATATCTTTCCATGAACCTTTGTGCTGATACTGCAGGTAGAATGCTGGGCATAGGATGCATCTATAAGGCACTGCAGGGTTTTCTAGTACTTTTAGGTACCTGCTATGCTGTTACTTTGATTAGGAACTTGGTTTAATAATCCTTTCCCTTTCTTATGTTTCCTGGTCCTATGCTTTAAGTACTGTCCCTTTCTCATACAGCATGTTAGGAGATGGATGGCACAAACTTTATAAGAGGCTGGCTTAGAACTTGGTGTTAAGTTGCATGCTAGAATATGGGAGGTAAACATCTGTATGTTTAAAACTACCAATGGAAAAATGGACTCTAATGCATTGATGAAGGTTCAGACTTTCAGGTATCCAGTGTAATGGATTGTCTTAGCTAGTTTACAGAACATGTTTTTAAAAAAAGCAGTAATATGCTTCACAGCATGTGGTTTTAGTGAGTACTTACAGTTAATTGTGGATGGTGTGACACTCACTGTCCATTTGCCTTGTGTCCCATAAAGTTCCCTGAGGATATTAGTGGCTGGTATAATCGCACACCATGCTGTGTGATGTTGCTCTTCCAGGGTACATGGGGATCTTATCTAACCACACTGTTGAGATTGTTTCAGATGCTAAGTTACAGCTAGCATTCACTTCTCCCATAAGGCCCTATAACCCATGTGCGGGGTGTTGCTTTTGCTGAGAGATCTCAGAACAATGGAGGTATTGTATAATATGTCCTAGAAAAGAAAATCCTAGCATTAAACCATCAAATACCTAGGATTGACAGCACAATGTTCAACCTTTTCAAAACTTTTTACAGACAGTTAGCAGTTTTCTACTCAGATTATTTTCCAAATAAATTCCTTGATAAACTGTCTTCTGGAGCAGCTGCAGTGGCCAAGTTTAAAACTCAGTGTAACTGGTGGTTACCTACAGCAGCAGGCGATGTAGTACTAGTTTATTTGGATGAGTAGTTAGGGACTTGAGGCCTGGTCTACATCTAAACTTAGGTTGACCTAGCTACGTTGCTCAGTCAGGGCTGTGAAAAATGTCATGCCCTGTGTGATGTAATTAGGTCATCCTAGCCCCTACTGTAGATGCAGGTAGGCTGAGGAAATAATTCTTCCATTAACCTAGGTACTGCCTCTTGAGGGGGTGAACTTACAACAACAACGACCAAAAAACCCCTTCTGTTGCTGTAGTATCTATGCTACAGTGGCACAGCTGTGCTGCTGTAGTGCTTGAAGTGTAGACCCTTACAGTCCCTTATCCAGCCAAAGAGAGGAGAAAGCATTTGTTTAATTTATGTTGGAAAATGGGAGTCTAAAAAGAAAAAGTTGTGGTACAATTGTCAGTGGCCATCGGGTGACCTACAAAGGGAGCATTTAGCTTAATTTCTGTTGCCTGGTCGTTACCAGAGAAGGGGATATCTGCAGAGAGTGTCATAAATATGATTGTTAGCCTTGGCGCCTTGGCCTAATCCCATTTTTGATAATTATGTTCTGATAACCTAAAATTTCCGTTTTTAACTGGATACAGGATTCTTCCTAAACTGCATAATGTTATAGTGAGCTGTTAGACAGCTGTCATGTTCCATGCCAGAGGCAGTCATGTGTCAGTGATGAATTGATTCCCATTTTGTGTGGTGTATATAAAGCACTTTGGGGTCCTTTTGGGATGAAAGGCACTGGCAAAATGTAAGAGATTATTACTGCATACCCTTCAGCGGTTACCTGTTTGTTCTTTGCAGTGAAACCAGCAGTGTGTGCAGCAGCAGTGACACTGGCCTCTTCACCAATGACGAAGGCCGTCAAGGTAACTACTGTCTCGTGATTTCCCTCCTGCACAAGTTGGGAATTTCTCTTTTACTATGCTTGGAAATGCAAATTCAAGGCAGTGCAGGACTAGAGATTGGAGGGGATCAGGATGTGCGGAGGAGGGATAGTGGCTGGGGAAAGGGCTAGGAGTCAGAGGAATTGGCTCAGATCACAAAGGTGTTCCATGTGATTTCAATAAAAATCATGCTTTTCTTATGGAAATGCTGTGATATTTATTAAATGTATAAAATCCAAATACTGGAAAGTGTGATATAAGGCAATATGTATATATGGGTTCTTGGGGATGACCACTCAGACTTTGCTGCTACACTTGGCTACACTTGCGAGTTACAGCGCTGTAAAGGCTCCCCCAGCGCTGTAACTCACTCCCTGTCCACACTGGCAAGGCATTTGCAGCACTGTATCTCCGTGGTTGCAGCGCTGCATGTACTCCACCTCTCCGAGAGGAATAGCAAGTATTGCGCTGCCGCTGCAGTACTGCGGCGGCAGTGTGGCCGCCCAATGCGCTGTGAATGGCCTCCAGAATTATTCGGCAGTATCCCACAATGCCTGTTCTAGCCACTCTGGTTATCAGTTCAAACTCTACTGCCCTGGCCTCAGGTAACCAACCATGTGACCGACCCTTTACATTCCCCGGGAATTTTAAAAATCCCCTTCCTGTTTGCTCAGCCCGGGGTGGCGTGGAGTGCTATCAGCGAATCTTTCCAGGTGACCATGGCTCCACGCGCCAAGCGAGCCCCAGCATGGAGCAATGGCGAGTTGCTGGACTTCATCAGTGTTTGGGGGGAGAAAGCTGTACAGTCCCAGCTGCGCTCCAGCCGTAGGAATTACAATACCTTCGGGAAGGTATCAAAGGATTTGATGGAAAGGGGCCATGACCGGGACGCCCTGCAGTGCAGGATTAAAGTGAAAGAGCTGCGGAGTGCCTACCGCAAAGCCCGCGACGCAAACGGCCGCTCGGGTGCTCCCCCGCGACCTGCCAATTCTACAAAGAGCTGGATGCGATACTTGGGGTTAACCCCACCTCCACTCCAAGCACCACCATGGACACTTCAGAGCCAGGGAGGGGAGAGGAGGAGAAGGAAAATGGGAGCGATGGTGGTGGGCCGGATGGAGACACCCCGGAATCCCTGGAGCCATGCAGCCAGGAGCTCTTCTTGAGCCAGGAGGAAGGTAGCCAGTCGCAGCGGCCGGTACTTGGTGGAAGACAAACAGAAGAGCAGGTTCCCAGTAAGCGGTTTTTTATTTTCGTGAAGGAATTTTTTCGGTGCGGGCTCTTTGGGAGAGGAGGGTTAGGCATGCATGCCTAGATGCGGAATAGTGCATTGATGTGGTTTATCATATCGCGGTAATTGGCCTCGGTAATCTCCTCGAATGTCTCATCCAGAACGTGTGGAATGCGCTTGCGCAGGTTTATCGGGAGAGCCACCGTGGTCCTTGTCCCAGCCAGGCTAACGTGTCCGCGCCACTGTGCCGCGAGGGGCGGGAGGACCATTGCTGCACACAGGCAAGCTGCATATGGGCCAGG